CAGGTTAAATTGAACTAGTGTGTATTTATAAACAAAAGGAAAAAGAAAAAAAAATAACATTGGGGTGGTAAAAAACACTCTGGTCCATCTAAGCCCAAATCCTGGCTTCACCACTTACCAGCTTTGTGATTATGGACAAGGTTTAAAAAATTTCTCTCAGCTTTATTTGCCTTGGCTTTAAATGGGAAATAAAAATTCTACCACCATTCAGCACATTATAAGGATTAAAAGACAGAATCCCTACCCTAAAGGCAAGGGGAGTGGTGATCCTGCAAACAAGAAATTCCAGCCTGATCAGCCACGACACAGTAACAACCAGCTCCCCATCACACCTGCTACAGCAGCGAAGTGCCAAGCCATCAGCAGAGGCATGATAAATGTGTACTTGCTGAATCAGTGAACATATAGAAAAAACCAGTTACTCTGGATGAACAAAACTGGCTAGCTAAATCATAGACTATGCCACTTACTACAATACCCACATCTAATCAGAGTTTGGGCTTCCCAGTGGTAAAGAATCAGCCTGCCAATGCAGCAGACATGGATTCAATCCCTGGGTCAGAGAGATGCTCTGGAATACAAAATAGCAACCCGCTTCAGTCTTCTTGCCTGGAAAATTTCACCGACAGAGAAGCCTGGAGGGCTACAGTCCATGGGGTAAAAAAAACTTGGACATGACTGAGCACACAGCACACAGAGTTTAGGATTCGTGGTTGAGTCACAGTGTACGCTGAAGTCTTAGGTTCATGAAATGCAAGCACTTCTCAAAACACAGAAATTAGGAGCAAGTGTCTACATCTACTAGGGATTTCCTGGTGGACTACTGTATGCAAATTGGTATGGGCTCATTCCACTAGATCAAAACCATAGATCCTAAAGTCAGATAGGTGTGCCCACTTCTCAACAATCCCTTTCTCCTTTGGAATCAGTTAACAGAATCAGAATCAGAACTGGCATCTTCTGCTTTGATATCAATGATTCTAATACAATATGGCTGAACATTTTATGACTATGTTGAAATGTCCTATATTTTTCTTCCCTCTGCCTATTTCTTTCAAATTGTAATGGGTTACAAAACTATTGAGGTTTTTTATGAAGCACATTAAAGACGCATACTAGTAGCAATGTGTTGGTAATGAAGAATGTTCATCATTAAGTGTGGTTGTAAATCACATTTTCTCTTGGGCACTGAAACATTAACACTGGAAACGAGATGGTAAGCCTCTTTTCAATCTCTCTTCTTTGCAAGTCATTTCCAACCTTTATTGTCAGCGGAGGGGCCAGCTACATGTTACTAGAGTTTTACAAAGTTAGCAGTCAGCTACGGCATTCACACTGTTCATCAGGAAAGAGCTGTAACCCACTTCCTATACCAGTGGGGTGGAGGGAACCGCAGGAAACTGGTCGCTTTAATGTGACCATCAGAATCTTCTACTTCTTTATCAGAATTAGATGGGAGCACAGAAGACTCTGACACAGATCCAATATATACCATTAACATGTTTCTCCTCTTAGGCCTCCTTTCCCAGAAAGTCTTGCCTCAATCACAGCTTCTGTCTATTTCAGGAGTCTTGAATGGAAGGATAGATTCCATTAAAGGCTCTTCTAGTTCTAGCACTAATAATAGGTACTTCTAATATCAGGTGTTTGCTTCAAGAAGGCCACTATTAATGCTGTTCTTGACATCAGCATTATTAACTTATCTTTTAAGGTTAGTTTATTTTTTTTTAATCTTTAGCCTGGAGATTTTTTTTTTTTCCGAAAGTTCTCTTTTAATTGTAGTTGTCTTTCTATGAAAAATACAAGAAATGTATATGCCCTCTATTTCTATTTAATATCTAATAATGCTACATTTAGAGAAAAACTGAAGCACAAAGAACTGGAATTATTCAGAATGTAACAAGACCATATTATCTCAAGAAAATTCTGTCTGGGTCTGGAATTCGGCCTAAGTTTCTGTGGCTCTCTCATATACTGCATAAATTGTGTCACTTACTGTTCACCCATCCCCTCAATAGCAGTAGTGTAAAAACAAAAATCTCTTCATTGTTTCTACTAGAAAAATCCTCACCACATAGTAGGTCCTGAACTAATTACCCTCAGTTAACAGCAACATTCGCCGGCCTGGCATTAAAGGTCTCCACATTTCAGTCCCAACTTACCTTCCTGTAACCCGCTTATGGAAGATTTACCTGCTCTACTTTAATTGGACTGACCTTATCTCCCAAGCATGCCATGTACCCTCTCAAGGCACCATATTGGTTTGGCTGTTCTTAATGACCCTAAAGTAGGCTGCAAGACAATCTATTGGTAGTTCCACCACCAGCCCTTCTAGTCTGCCTTCAAATGCCATCTTTTTCATAGACCCATCCCTGATCAATCTCCTGTACGTGAAGTAGGCTCTGGGCTCATACTTTTTACAACACAGACTGTATTTTTTTGACTTATGTTTCCTACTAGACTTTCACATCCATGGGGGTCAGCTATCCTGTGTGTTCTCATCATATAACTGATCCCCTGAGCCCAGTAAAACAGCTTATTCAAAAGAGGTACTCCAAAAATGAATGCGGAATAGGTGGGCAATAATTATTATGCAAGCAGCTATCCTGGAGGAGAGCACAAGAACTTGAGTCCCACAGCAGAATACTAGCTGCTGTAATGTAGTCACACATCTTTTTTTGGTTCACATATAAATTGCTTTATTCTGTTTAATAATTGCAAAATATTCCCAAGTATGGCATATAATAATTTCTTTAGCCAAAATCGTATTAAAGACTTTTAGGTTGTTTACAATCTTTGTTGTTTCAAATAGTGCTCAATAAATAGCTATGTATATTTGTCATTTTTGAAATGCTAGATCGGGATTCACACTTTTTACTTCTGAAATGCATTGCTAAATTGTATTACATTGTTTAAGAGCCATATCTTTTGTCCTGTGAATTGTCTCTCTTATTTTTTACTGGATTCTTTTAGTTTATTTTTTCCTTTTTTTTCACAGTATATCTTCTAAAGTAAAATATAGTATACCTTCAAAACTAAAGCAATTTACAACACTGAAACATAGATTATAGAAATAAAGACACTGAAATATATCCTATGATATTTCTGTAGCCACTTTAACTAGTAGAAGGCTGTAGGGCCTCCAGTTAATTTAAAAGTCTAATAGGTATGCTTCAGTAAAACTGATTAAAATTCCCTTGTAACTGAACCAGTGATTAGTATCTATGAACAGTCCTATTTATCTTAAATGTATACTCACAGGTTGATCAGTGTAAACCTGAAAAGAATGTGTTATCAAACAATTATCAGGAGCAAAAGAAAAAGAAGCCCTGAAAAATCCATCTTTCCCTGCTAGGAAAATAGAAGCTAACAAGTTCATGTAGCTAGATCTGCACGAATGGTCCTAAGAGGTACATGGAAAACCTCCTGAAAAACAGTGCCTCAAACAAAATGCACATTTACTTACATGTGTATCTAAGTACATGCTCAACTGAAGAAGTTGTTGTCATTTCATAGGGAATTACAAAGTTAAGCAATCTATTTGGTATTCTATGTATATTTTAAGAGAATATGTGATATTGCAATAGATTTTAAGCTAACTATGAGTGTTCAACTCAGAATAATCTCACAAAGCTACAAGTTAAAGAAATGAAAAACTTCAAAACTACTATGTTAAGTGAAAGAAGCCAGACACAAAAGACCATGTATGACCCCACTTAATATTAAAAGTCTAGAAAAGGAAAATCTGTAGAGACATAAAGAAGATTAATGGTTGCTGAGGGCTAGCAGTAAGAACAAGGATTCACAGTGAAGGGGTGTGAGGACTAGGGTGATGAAAATGTTCTAAGATTGGATTCTGTGATGGTTTCACAATCTGGTACATTTATTAATGCCACTGAATTATACACCTCTGCACTTAAGATGAGTGAATTTTATATGTAAATTATACTTCAGCAAAGTTATAAAAAATGCAGTGAAGGGAAGATGACATACCACAGTGATCATTAGGAATCTATATGAAGCAAAGAGTAGTTTATTTTAAGCTCCAATTTAACAATGGAGCAGAAAGCATTTTACTTTAATAAAAGTGACCATACTGTTGTAGCATTTGTGGACAGACTTTAAAAGTACCTGCAATGCATTAAAACAATATTTATGTCTGTACTCATTCAATCTAATCTTAGGGCCATCTTTTACTATTTGCAAAACAAACATATACCCTTTAAGAAAAGCAACTCAACAATTCAATAATTTTGGTTGTTTAGTGTAAAATGAACCTTGCTTTTATTTCAGGGAGACAAAAAGGGGGTCTTCTAGTTTGTTCCGTATACAACATTTCCAATAGAAGCATTAATTAACCAGAAAAACAAAGTCTAAGATCTGCCTCTCTAAGAAGGCACTGTCCCTTCCCCCAGTAAACTATCGTATAGACAACACAAGTTATCCAAGTTAAATTTCATAGCAAAAAATAATGTCATGCTCTCCAAGTGGCCTTCTTTTGCTTTAAAATTAAATTAAATCTAATCACAACTACTCTCTCAACCAACATTTATTGAAAAGTTTCTATAAGGCAAGCACCCTGCATCACACTAGGTAAAATTCACCCTTTGACATCAAGGAGCTCATAGTCTTGGTGATGAAAGGGGCCACGGACAATGGAGTGTAATCAACACCCACTGTCAGAAGAATGCCAAGGAGGCCATCTAACCTGGTCCTTGTCAAATGACATGGCCCCCAGTTAGGCGGAGTTCTGCAGAACAACGTGCCAAGTAGCATACAGAAGTAGCAGGCACAGAACAGTCTGTAAAATCAAGGTTTCACATTTTTTGAAATGAATCGTTGGATGCTTATTCATCCAGAAAGAGCTCCATAAGCACAAGGCAACGTGTTACCTCCCATCACCAGGGAGACAGTGGTGGCAGGCTGGATGGAAATTTCAAACTCTGGTGTGATGCCTTCCTTTTCCCCGAGCAAGAAAATCCAAGTGAACAGTGGGTTACCTCGGACCACCTCCTCCACAGACTCCGTGGTGGTGGTGGTGGTGGCAATGCTGGTGGTCCGCTCCGTGGCCTCCTCGTAGGGCTCCTCAGCCTCTTCCTCCACTTCCTCTCCATCCTCATCATCCTCCTCCTCGTCGGCTTCTTCTTCCTCCACATCCGCCACTTCTTCCTCCTCCGCCACTTCTACGACTTTGTCTTCACTGGAGCAGGAGGGAGAAATAATAGCAATAGTCATTAAACACATGTCGGGCAAGGAAAAAGAAAACCAATGACAAGGGGCTTTGGGTCCTTGAAAGGGAACACGGCACTGAATTAAAACACACAGGAGGTCTGAAGCCAGCAGGTCACACTATGGTTCCCAGCTCAGCAGATCTGCAACTTTTTAATCCCTGAACAAGATCTTAGTTTACACAGCTGCAAAAAGAGGCTACCGTGATTCCAACTATATGACATTCTGGAAAAGGCAAAGTTATGGAGACCATGGTTATGGAGCTATGGTTTTTCCAGTAGTCATGTATGGACGTGAGAGTTGGACTATAAAGAAAGCTGAGTGCCGAAGAATTGATGCTTTTGAACTGTGGTGTTGGAGAAGACTCTTGAGAGTCCCTTGGACTGCAAGGAGATCCAACCAGTCCATCCTAAAGGAGATTAGTCCTTCATTGGTAGGATTGATGTTGAAGCTGAAACTCCAATACTTTGGCCACCTGATGTGACGAGCTAACTCATTGGAAAAGACCCTGATGCTGGGAAAGATTAAGGGCAGGAGGAGAAGGGGACGATAGAGGATGAGATGGTTGGATGGCATCACCAACTCCATGGACATGAGTTTGAGTAAATTCCAGGAGTTGGTGATAGACAAGGAGGCCTGGTGCGCTGTAGTCCATGGGGTCACAAAGAGCTGGACACGACTGAGAGACTGAACTGAACTGGATGGAGACCATAAAAAGATCAGTTGTTGCTAGGAGTCTGGAGTGAGGAAAGAAGGAATGAACAGGTGGAACAGAGGGGTTTGAGGGGCAGTGAGATTGCTCTGTAATACAATGTATCAGAGACAACATATACAATTGTCTGCTATACATGCATGCATAGAACCCATAGAACCATACAACACAAAACATGAACTTGAATGTAAACTGTGGATTTTATCAATGATGCATCAATATTGGTTCAAGTGTACAATACTAATGCAAAATGTTAATAATTGGGGGGGGGGTGCTCTGTATTTCCTGTTCAAATTTTTTCTAAACCTAAAATTGCTCTTAAAAATAAAGTCTATCAAAAAGGTTGGGGTGGGGGATGCCAAAACAAAGTTTACTGTATTGTTGGGGTCACTTCTTATAAAACATGTGAAAATACCACAAAGCACCTGCATATTAGATATTCAATAAGGGGATGTGGAAATTGGTTCAATATGACTGTTGGAATGTTTACATTAGAAATGAAAGGGGAAGAAGAAATTGGTTTTTCCAGCAGTCATGTATGGAATATGAGAGTTGGACCACATGTAAGGCTGAACACCGAAGAATTGATGCTTTTGAACTGTGGTGCTGGAGAAGACTTCTGAGAGTCCCGTGGACTGCAGGGAGATCAGGCCAGTCAATCCTAAAGGAGATAAGTCCTGAATATTCATTGGAAGGACGGATGCTGAAGCTCCAATAATTTGGCCACATGATGTGAAGAGCTGACTCACTGGAAAAGACCCTGATGCTGGGAAAGAATGAGGGCAGGAGGAGAAGGGGGTGGGACAGGAAGAGATGGTTAAATAGCATCACTGACTGGACATGAATCTGAGCAAATTCTGGGAGACAGTGAAGGACAGGAGAGCCTGGTGTGCCGCAGTCCATGGGATTGCAAAGAGTGGGACATGACTTAGCGACTGAACAATAACGACAAAACCTGTGTAATACTCAATGGTAGGGATGCCTACTGAAACTATATCTGTGCTCCCTTTTGCTAGTTGTGTAAGCTTTCTAGAATACCAGATATTTCAGTGGTTCTCGCATTTCAGCAAGCATCAGAAGGATGCACCTGGAAGGTTTATTAAAACACAGATCACCAGGCACCACCCCCAGATTTCTGAGTCAGTGGTGGGATAGGGGATGAGAATTTTCATTCCTAACAATTTCCCAGGTAATGCTGCTGCTGATAGTGGGAGGACAATATTCTGAGGACCCCTGAAACATGCAACACTGAAAATAATGGGAACAGACAGGCAGTGAGTCACAGTATAATTGGGAAGGGGATCAGAAATAATATTTATGGCATTGAACATGTATATATATATATATATATACTCGATCAGAATGGTGAGTAATAAATCAGCAAATTTGGATAGCCAAAGAATATGTCTGGAACAAAATCCAAAAGTCCAAGTAAGATATTCTTGTGGCAGTCATGTACCTGCCAGTGCAGATGTGGTTGAGAGCAACTGCAAGATGATAAATGAAGGGAGGAATCTAAGTGTTTAACAGTGAAAGCACCTCATGTGCCATGGGGCTACAGAGGAGAAATAATTTCATCCCTGATCAGACCACAAAACCAGTTACAGGAAAAAGATCTAGATGTGCTGGAGGGTTTCAGCCCACCAGAGCATCGACTCCAGGTCTGCTTCACAAGAAGCACTACAGCAGTGGGACTGAGAACTGCCATGCTGACATTTACACTGTATCCCAGACCGATTCCTGCTCACAAGGAGAAGCTCACTGCTGGGGGAAGTGACAGAATCTGTAGAGTGCCTGTCAGCCGCCACCTGAAGCCCTGGATGTGAGCTGGGCACTGTAAAGAAAATCAGATTTCAGACGTGTTAGGGAAAGAGAATGGTAGGATTTGGTAATGTAGGGAGATAGAAGGATGGCAGAAGGCTTTCAAATCCTGAAAGTCTGACAGGGCAGCCACAAGGGGTGAGAGTGAAAAAGAGAAAGAGCTGTGAAAAGATGAATATAGCACTAGAAGAAGTTCCCTGATCAACCCAGAATTTAAAGGACTTTTTAAAGATTTACAAAGATGTGTAGGGACTTCCATGGTGGCCCAGCGGTTAAAGACTCCATGCTTTCAATGCAGGGGGTGATGGTTTGATGCCTGATTGTTTAACTAAGATCCCTCATGCCATGTAATGAAGATGAAAATAAAGTAAAACAAAACAAAAGTGTATAATCCTCCCACCCCCAAGTGGAATGCTTTTCTAATTCTGATTAAATATGATATATGAACAATAAATGAACACATTTGAATGTTGAACACATTCTAAGAGGCTAAAGAATATGGAGAAACTTATTTAGGAGGAATAACATTAATAATAAAGTATCATGATATGTTATTATCAATTGAATAAATGACATGTTAATACAGAGAAAACCCTAACCAGTTATTTAAATGTTTCCATGAGACCATGAAGAAATAGGTAAGAGGGGGAAGTGAAACACTGGCATTGATCGTCAGATGGTATAAACCTTCATCTGCTTAGAACTGGGGTGCAATCATCGATTTCCTCATTGCCTGAATTCCTGCACAAATGTCTACCGCTTAAGGCAACATTTCAAAAGAATCCTAAACTTAACAGCTGCTTAGATGCCTCAATTTTAGCCAATATACTGCCTCCTCATTTTTCTACAAAATCTTGATGTACTGCTAGTGAATAAAGATGACCTAAGGCATGCCATGGGCCCATTTCTTGCGTTTGAGCTCTCTTCTGTATCTGACAAGATCACAGGCACCAACACTCTTTATTTGTATTTTTTTAAAGTTTTTTGTTTTTAAATGAAGGGTAATTGCTTTACAATGCTGTGTTGGTTTCTGCCATACATCAGCGTGAGTTGGCCACAGGTACAATGCTGTCCCCTTCCTCTCAACCTCCCTCCCACCTCCCACCCCATCCCACTCCTCCCCGTTGTCACGGAGCCCTGGTTTGAGGTCACTGAGTCATATAGCAAATTTCCACTGGCTATCTATTTGACATGTGGTGGTGTATATGAAGACATAGAGAACAGACTTACGGATATGGAGAAGGGGGAAGGACAGGGTGAGAGAGTAACATGGAAACATATACACCAATAATCTTTAGTTCTCCAAATTAAATGGAAAATTCATGGAAAACAAGAGAGAAAAATCAAATCCAATCAGTCTTCTTAAACCACAACGTGTGAAGTGCGGGTGGAATGCCAGGGTCCGGGTATGCAATCCAGGGTACAGACAACAGTGGGCTTCTGGGTGGGGTGATGAAAACGCCCCAGGGCATCCCCAAAGGCCCCCAACCATCTCTGTTATGACTTGAATGTTGCATTTAAAACTCCAAACAGAAAGCATGCGCATAAAAACAGCTGTGTTTAAAGCAATCTGTATTCTGGTATGTGTCCAGCCATGAAAAAGAGTGAAATACATGCCTACCATCCATCAGTGCATCTGCCGGAGCAATTTCCTGGCATAATAACAAGGAATAGAGACACAGAACAGTTCAGCTGGCTAAGGAATTAAATTACTTGGCCTGAGAGAACTCACGTCCAGTTCTTATTACCATAGCTTTGATTTCTGGAATTAAATTTAGACGTCCATGAATTCAATTATCTCTTTGGACACCATTAAAACAGTAGCACACAGCTATGTTTTAATGATGTGGCGTCTTCCCCTAAAAGGCCCAACATGCCAACATTATAACTTCTATTTGCAGTTTTCATAAATAGCTGGAAACACAGAAAGGGAAAAAAAAAAACAAAAAAACTTTTCCACCTTCTCTTCAACTGCTAGACAACTCTGTTCTGTGATGTGACCAAGGTGAGTCAGCTTTACATCTATTTTTTTATTTGGCTGTGTTATGAATCCCCCTGCAATACATGAGACCTGGGTTTGATCCCTGGGTTGGGAAGATCTTCTGGTGAAGGAAATGGCAACCCACTCCAGTCTTCTTGCCTGTAGAATTCCATGGACAGAGGAGCGTGGTGGGTTACAGTTCATGGGGATCACAAAGAGTTGGACATGACTGAGTGACTAACACTTTCATTTTCACTTTCATGGGGCATGCGGGATCTAATTCCCTGACCAAGGAGTGAACCCAGGACCCCTGATCCTATTGGGAGCATACAGTCTTAGCCACGGGACCACCAGGGAAGTCCCCAAGGTGAGCCACAGTAACCAAAATAAATACATAAATAAATGCAAGAAGGTCCAGTTTATGGAAATGTGAGGCTGAGCATCATAGAGCAATGTC